AACCCGGGCCCCCGCAGTCTGCAGGCCAACCCCCTATCCACTGGGCCAAACCGGCCAGGGCCCCCCCCTCCTTTTTTTTTTTTTAAATAAATTCCATGTTTTTGGCAACGGTGTAGTTAGCAGGTCCAGTGCCATCATTTTTCTAGGAAGCTCAGATGCTTGTTACGAGTGGTTAGCAATAAAGTATTTTTTTTAACCTTTAACACATGATTTTTATTGAACATGTATAGGGTTCACCTTTACATTTTATTACAAACTAGAGGCCTGATGCACGAAAATCATGCAAGGGTAGGCCTTCCTTCTGCCTGCACCGGTTTACCTCCGGCTTCCAGCACCCAGGCTTCCCTCTGGCTGCTGGCATCTGGGACTGGGGTTTCCCTCTTGCTGCTGGGACCCGGGCACCCATCTGCAGAGGGAGGCCTCGCCCACCCGCCACAGCCCACTGGCTAGTGCAGTAGGCTTCATCTTTGGGGCAATCGCAGAGCCCCCCCCATTGATTGCCCCGCCAGCTGTGGCCTGGGCCTCCCTCTGCGTACCATTGTGGGGTAATGGCAGAGCCCGTGGACCAATCACATTGCACAGGCTTGGCTGGCCTGGCGTTCATGCGTGTCATGTCGTGTTCCTTTGGACGGTGTTTTTGTAAACACAGGAAGTCTTTCAACTTATTTGTGTTTTCTTCCATTCCTTTCATCACTGTATCATAGTGTTTAATGTACAGATGTTTCACCTTTTGGTCGAATTTATTCCTTTTTTTTTTTTATGCTTTTGTAAATTTGACGACCTTCACTTTTTATGTACATATATATTTTTTATTGATTTTTTACAGAGAGGAAAGGAGAGAGATAGAGAGTCAGAAACATCGATGAGAGAGAAACATCGATCAGCTGCCTCCTACACATCTCCTACCGGGGATGTGCCCGCAACCTAGGTACATGCCCTTGACCGGAATCGAACCCGGGACCTTTCAGTCCGCAGGCCGACGCTCTATTCACTGAGCCAAACCGGTTTCGGCGACCTTCACTTTTCTATTGAAGAATTTATTGTTAGTGTGTGGAAATGGAGCTAATGTTTGTACGTTTATTTTTCATCCTGTAACTTTTCTGAATTTAGTTCTTTATTCTTCTTTCATCTTCACCCCTGTAGTCTGAATATTTTTCCCATTTATTTTCTTATAGAGAGAGAAAAATGAGAGAGAGCCAGCGAGAGAGAAACATCGATTGGTGGCCTTCCACATGTGCCCCTACTGGTAGCGGTATCAGACCTGCAACCAAGGTACCTGCCCTTGACTGGGAATCTAAACCATGACCCTCCAGTGCACAGGCTGGCACTCTCACCACTGAGCAACACAGGCCAAGATTATTTATTTATTCTATAAATTATATTAAACATATATTTTTATTGATTTTAGAGCGGCAGAGTACGAGAGAGAGACTGAAATTTCAGTGATGAGAGAGAGTCATTGATGGGCTGCCTCCTGTGTGACCCACACTGGTGATTGAGCCCGCAACCTGTGCATGTGCCCAGACAGGGAATTGAATTGTGACCTCCTTAGTTCATGGGTCAATGCTCAGTCACTGAGCCATACTAGCCATCCTTTATTTATTGATTTGGGAGACAGAGAAAGAGAGAGACGGGAACATCGATCTGCTATTCTACCCATCTATGCCTTCACTGGCTCCCCCCTGCATGTGCCCTGATGGGGGATCAAACCCACAACCTTAGTGCATCGGGACCACACACTCACCAACTGATCCACCTGGCCGGGCCTCTGAATTTGTTTCAGAAGCTCATAGTGGTTTCTTCTTCTTTTTTTTAATCTTTAATTTCTTTATTGGTTAAGGTATTACAAGTGTGTCCTCATCCCCCACAATTAACCCCCAACCTCCTCCCCCCCACTCATGCTTTCATCCCCCTGTTGTCCATGTCCATTGGTTTGGCTTATACACACTCATACAAGTCCTTTGGTTGATCTCTTTCCCTTACCCCTACCCTCCCCTACTTTCCCTCTGGGGATTGATATTCTGATCACTGTTTCTCTATCTT